CGTGTACATCTTTCCTCAATCTTTGGCACCTTTGTTTCCAATTATTAAACAGTTAATGAGCTCCGAAGCACCAGGAGGCTGTTTATAACAGTAATAACAGTTGAATGGGAAGTTTTCATGCTTGTGAACTGTTTAATAAATGTAACCAAAGCCGTCAAAGATTGAGGAAAGATATACACGTTCGTAAGTGCTTGCGTAAGTGCTTTCGTGAATCTGGCCTCTGGTCAATTGTTTGCTTGAATTGTTTTATGTTGTTTAATTGACGAGAGTAACGAAGCCGTGTCACTTGTGGCGTGCCAACAGAGTCAGCTGTACGGGCAGTACGGTGCCAACAAGGGGTTGGGAGCCCTTCAACCTCCTCACAACCTCATGTTCCTGCCACTCTTGGAGGGGTTGAGGGGTGGGGCTCACGGCGCCCCTCCTGCTCCCCCCGCCCCGCCTGTCCTGCCCCCCATCTCACCCCCCCACGAGGCAGGACTGCCCAAGATGCCCCCGGTGTCCGTCGCTGGCGCCGTGAGTAACTCCTTGCTCCACCTATAGTCGTTTTTATCTTTACCTTTCAGAAATAATTATGGGGATTTTTTTTTGCTTACAGGAAGATAAGTTGGGTGATGGATACTGATGATTTAGGATATTAGGAAAATATTGAAGCTATATAATAGGATCGAACTTGCGTCTTGGAGTTCCTAAGGCTTTAAAGGGTAATCTTTCATTAGTGGGATGAGGGACTTTCTGATATTTGTTTGAAGGGGCATTGAGGACATTATTAGCTTTCATTTTAGTAATATATTTTTTTATATCAAGGCAATACACTAATGTATCGTGTATTTAGACAAGTTAAAATTTACTAAATATAAGATTATCAGATAATTTATTAAATATTTATATATGAAAAATATTAATTTTTGATTTCTGTTAAGGGCTTCAAGTAAATATTTTAGTGTTAATGGTATTTTACAACGTCTCTCATTTTATATATATATATATATATATATATAACTATATATATATCTTATATATATTATGTATATATATATATATATATGTCCGTACCTAGTAGCCAGAACGCACTTTCTCGGCCTACTATACAAGGCACGATATGCCAATAAGCCAGTTTCCTGAATTATATTTTCTCTATATATAAAAATAGAGCTATATATATATATATATATTATAGATATATATATATATATATATATATATATATAGGTTTGGTTAGGTTATATATATAACTGAAAACTCAACACCCAGAAGTGTCTCTAACCCATACTGCCAGGAGCACTTTGCAACTGATGTACAGGACACCTTAACCACTCGACCATCACGACCGGACAATAGATGATGGTAGCCAAGGAAATAGCCTCGGATACCCTCATCTTTTGTCCGGTCGTGATGGTCGAGTGGTTAAGGCATCCTGTACACGGTTGTATACAAAGTGCTCCTGGCCGTATGGGTTCGAGTCACTTCAGGGGTGTGAGTTTTCAGTTGAATATGAAGTTTTATAACTCACTGTAACACTGTCTATCTTGTGTTGCTGTACAGGTTCCAGCGTGGATGTCCGCCTCGGCACAACTGGCTCAGCTCTCTCAGAACTCCGCCCACACCACCCACACGCCCACCCAGACGCCCGCGCCCTCACACGAAAATCACGAGGAGAAGCCCCTGAACCTGACCAAGCCCAAGGACGCCAGCCCTAAGCCCAGCGACATGAGCGCACTGTCAGGGAAGGGCCCCGGGCTGCCCCCGTCCCTTGTCCCTCACTCCTTCCTCCCCTACATGACCCCGCCCTTCCCAGGCCTCCCTGACCACAAGGACCTGCTGGGGGGCCTGGGGCAGACCCTGGGGCAGAGTCTGGGCCAGGGGCTAGGCCAGGGACTAGGCCAGGGACTAGGCCAAGGGCTAGGCTCCCTCCCATCTCCGACAATGGGCGGAGGTATGGCGGGAAAACACTACCCTCCGCCGGCCTTTCCACCCATGTATCTTCCACCTTCGTCCTTACCTTCCTCCCTACCGCCCCACCTCAACCCCATGGGCGCCCTAAGCTTGCCCACGGCTACGCCCCTCACCTCTCTTACCTCACTAGGGGGTACCATGGGCGGCATCCCTTCCGTCACCACCTCCAGCCCACACACCACCCAGGAGAAGCCCAAGGAAGAGGACTACGTCACCACCTGTCAGAGTGAGTCATCTTAAGAGCGCTTCCCGTCTTAACAGAAAATATAAATATTATAGCTTCTGTTTTCTCTCTCTCCACAAGCTGATCCATTCCATGTGTTGTATAGTCGTAATGGATAATTCCCCCCTCCCTCCCTCTCTCTCCACATATGTGACACGTAGTTCACGCTTCATACTTATCTTCTGTTTACCATAGGCTCCTTCACTGACCTTTTCTTCTCCTCTCCTTCTTAAGCAGCCAAGATGTTCGGGGCGAAGATCATCCGACAAACTCGAAAGGACACGGACTCGAAGCCTCATATCAAGCGACCGATGAATGCTTTCATGGTTTGGGCTAGAGACGAGAGGCGCAAAATTCTCAAGGCGTGCCCAGATATGCACAACTCTGCCATCTCCAAGATCCTAGGTAAGCACAGAAGATTTTAGGCCAGGTTGGGGGAGCATGAAACATGATATTAGGTACACTTGGAGATCCTGTTGAATACTGCAGCATATTTAAAGATCCTATGGAATGATGAGGATGCTAAGAGATGCTCCTGGATGCTGTAGTACGCGGTGACGTTGTCTGGAATGCTGGGGGTATACTTGAAGATGTTGTAAGATGCTGGGGTGCATTTAAATATGCTCAGGAATGTTGGTACACTCTCCCCATGCTACTGGATGCTGGGGGATGATAGCACATGTTTTGGGATGCTGGGGACACCGGGAGATACTGTTGGATGCTGAGGTCACGGGTACATGTTGTGTGATTTTAGAAGATATGTTGAAATGTTGGGAGATGTTGCCAGACTGCTTGGAAGATTAAATGATTGGACAGAGATGCTAAAGTTATTAGGAGAGGAATGGGCGTGACAAATGCAAGTAGGTATTGGGAAGCTTGGAAAAAGCCTGGGTATTGGGTCAGACACGATTGGTTCTTTTTCTGGATATTGATTCCAGAAAAAAGATTAACTGGACTTGGTTCCTACTTAGAAGTAGGTGAAACTCGTCTATAAACGGGTTATGATGAACTGATGATGTCAATTCTAAGATGATCATCTTTCATTTTATCTTCAGGCTGCAAACGAATCAGTTAAAAGATTCATTTTATTAACTTAAAAGTGTTCTGAACACTTTTTAAAAATGTGTACTGTAACTTAAAAATAATACTGCACGGTTGTTGAACTATATATATTTACATTTTAAATAGAATTTAACATTTTCGGAGCAGATGTGTGACATGTAGTGATGCTGCGATCTTCATCTCCCTCTCTATCCCTCCAGGCTCAAGATGGAAGTCCATGACCAACTCCGAGAAGCAGCCTTACTACGAGGAGCAGTCGCGGCTCTCCAAGCTGCACATGGAGAAGCACCCCGACTACCGCTACCGCCCTAGACCCAAGCGCACCTGCATCGTCGACGGCAAGAAGATGCGCATCTCCGAGTACAAGGCCCTCATGCGCCAGAAGCGCGACGAGATGCGCACGATGTACTTTCGAGACAACGGCCTTTCCGATCTGGCCAAGCTTCTCCCTCCAGGAGCCGATCCCCTCAAGGGGGATTTCCTGAAGGCGGGAATCTTCAAGGATGACCTCCTGAAGAAAGATTTGATGAATGCGGAGATTTTGAGCGTCGACTCCCACGGCGACCCAGCCACCAATCGCGGCGAGGACCTCCCTTCAGTCATGACCCCGACCTCAGAGTTTAGCCTCGACGGGTCGGCCTCGCCCTCTCCCGGAGCCCCGGCGTCCACCACCTCCGACCTCGAGGACCACATGGACGAGGATTTCGCGTCGTCGACCGATATCGTCAGTCACGAGGAAATCGAAGAGACCCAGCCGCTAAGTATAGACGAGCGGCTGGCATGAAATACCTCCCGGCGCCGCCATCACCCGTACTTCCACATGCCCAAGATCGCTCCTTGGGCTCGCCCTCGAACTCTCCCCATAGTCTACCCACACGCTAGCCATCACCCCACACTCGCCCTACCCCCCATCTATCCTCCACAGTACATATTTCCTCCGCTGGAGCAATATCTTCCGTATGCCATCGGCAAACACTGAAGTTTAACTTCTCTAGTCTGCTGTTGATGAGGCAGTGTTCCCTCTTACTCGCCTACTGATGTCTGAAGTCACTGTGACGTCCTCCCATGTAGACCTCACATCCGAAGGCCGTGTTTTGAAGAACGAAGTCCACCTCGGAACGCCGTCAGGTGCGTGAGTGTGTGTGGGCGACGAAACCCACTCAGCTTCAAGGACTGAAGCGTTGAGGAAATTCTCTTCGAGTTGCAAATGAAGAGTCGAAGTCTCGTTGACACAAGCCCTCGAGGATGGAGAGTGTGTGTGTGTAGAATAGTGAACATCGGGAGAAGATTTATATACAGTGAATAAGGAGGAGGAGTCTTGTGCGTGTGTGATGTCGGTAAAAGGGGGGAGATATAGAGAGACAATAGTGATGCTGTTCATCCTAGAGTAATTATTTTTTTTTCATTGCCAGACATCGAAATCTGCCTCAAACGAACAGAAAACGGGAATTTGAGGGCAGACTCGACTCACGTGACGAAGACCACTCCAACAACTTCGACCCGATGGAAGGATACTCGGGAATCTACTTTGTTGATACCTATCGACTCTCCTTTCCCCCCCGATCTCCCCCTCTCCCCCCTACCCCCCCCCCTCTATGTAAAAATGGTTCGTAACAGGTACATATTTTTCAGAGGTGATATCTGTTTGTAGATCTCTTTTTTTTTCCAGACTCCAGCTGCAGGCTGGGTGCGGGTAGGAGGTTCCTCTGGAGTCGACACGGTTTTGTTCCTAGCTCGCTGTTGTTGTTGTTTTTTTTTGTATAATAACTTGGTGATCATTTTTTTTTCCTATGGTTACTGCAAGCAGTATAGACGACAGTAATCTTTATATGCTTACGGAGTTTATAGATGGAGAGGAAACAGGTGAGATGACTCAAGGAGGTGGAGGAGAGTTTTCGACATATATATATAAATATATTTATATATATATATGCATATATACATACATGTATAAGTTTAGATTGTAAACTGAAAGAGCTTTAACATAAAAAAAAATCGGTTCCCCCCCCCCCCACCCACTCCCTTGTACATGATTTAAGGGGCGACTTTTTGGGATTTGTCACAGTGCATTAAGAGTCATATTTTTTATGTTTTAAATAGGAAAATGAACCATTATGCACCTTGCTCTATGGCTGTAAGTCGCCTTTTGTTGCTTAAGTCATTTGAACTATGCTTTGTAAAGCGTCCTAAAGAAACACTTTTGTCTCTCTCTGGTCATGTAACAACAAATCAAGTTTCCTTGTTTATTTGTTTAATTTTATAAGACATTTTTGTAATCACAAGTTGATGACGTCACGCCGTTCGCTTGTATATATTGAATCCGCGACCTGACGATTGGTTCACACCATGATGCCGGGCGTGACGTCACACAACTCGCGACCTGACGATTGGTTCACACCATGAGGCCAGGCGTGACGTCACACAAACCGCGCCCTGACGATTGGTTCATACCATGATGCCAGGCGTGACGTCACACAAACCGCGCCCTGACGATTGGTTTACACCATGAGGCCAGGCGTGACGTCACACAATAACGATGTCAATTGGCACAGTTGACTACAGAAACCCCTTAAAAAAAGTGTTCTTTTTTGCGTTTATTTAACGAGATGCCGCGTTCTAAGTCAGATTTTGATGACCGGTATAAACAGTATTAACATAGGAGGATAGTGGCCCTCTTTGTGTACTTTATCTAGTACTCGGTACAATAGAAAATAAGTAAAGTGTTTTCAGACGTGGCAAGTGTGGATTTTGCACCAATCAGAGACCCGTTCTTCCTCTCCGCCGCTTCCTGACTGGGCAACTGCTGGCTTTGATGGGGCTGAGGTTAAGGTGTGGGGCTGAGATTAAGGTGTGGGGCTGAGATTAAGGTGTGGGGCTGAGATTAAGGTTTGGGGCTGAGATTAAGGTTTAGGGCTGATATTAAGGTTTGGGGCTATGCTAGGTAGGGCTGAACTTGAGGGTTGACCTTGAAGATGGATTTAGCTTGGTTGAACTTGAGGTGGGGAGGGGGACGTTGGTTGGTGTTCTAGTGGGCAAAAGAGGTTGGAGTTACACTTCAGAGCCAGAGCCTTGAAGTATAACCAGCCCTTTAAGCCCTTTTTTTTAGGGCTGGACCGAACTTTAAGGCCGGTCCATGGCCGGTCCGAACTTCAGGACCATTGTCTGTTGCTAGAGCCGAAGTTGAGGGCATTTTCTAGGGCATAACTGAACTTCAGATCAAATATTCCATTGTCATCCACCCCAAAAACTGGTCTATTTTGAATGACTGATTCTTATAGGCGTGTTGAGAGTGAAGTAACACTTATATTATCTATTTCTTCCTTTTTATCTATCTCTTCCGTTTATCTGTTTCTTATTATCATCTATCTCTTTTATCTATCTAGAGCGTTAACGGAACTAATACTTGGCGTGTGTTCTGGGAGTCTGGTTCATGGCTTCCTGTCCCGGCTTACTCTAATGTAAATGTAAAAGGGAAATTAGGTATGTTAATATATGTACATATATAGATACATATATGTGTTATGATTGTCCAACTTTACATGGTGTTGGTTTCTTTTGTTCCACCAGTCTCTCTTTCTCTGTCTGTCTGTCTGTCTGTCTGTCTGTCTGTCTGTCTGTCTGTCTGTCTGTCTGTCTGTCTGTCTGTCTGTCTGTCTGTCTGTCTGTCTGTCTGTCTGTCTGTCTGTCTGTCTGTCTGTCTGTCTGTCTGTCTCTCTCTCTGTCTCTCTCTCTGTCTCTCTCTGTCTCTTTCTGTCTCTCTCTCTCTCTCTCCTCTACTTATCTTTCTTAGGCTTTTGTGGTGATTAGGAAGGTGAAGAAGTTGGCCTTCACACGGGGCTACAGTCTGTCTGTCTGTCTGTCTGTCTGTCTGTCTGTCTGTCTGTCTGTCTGTCTGTCTGTCTGTCTGTCTGTCTGTCTGTCTGTCTGTCTGTCTGTCTGTCTGTCTGTCTGTCTGTCTGTCTGTCTGTCTGTCTGTCTGTCTGTCTGTCTGTCTGTCTGTCTGTCTGTCTGTCTGTCTGTCTGTCTGTCTGTCTGTCTGTCTGTCTGTCTGTCTGTCTGTCTGTCTGTCTGTCTGACTGTCTGTCCGTCTGTCTGTCCGTCTGTCTCGCACTTAGTGTGTGAGGAGGCTTCGTTCTCAATCACCGAGTCTCCTTCCGCTACGGAGTTGACAGTCTGAAGAAGCCTGAACCGTGAGCTGTATGGTGATTTCAGTCCACCTTTTCGAACCATTTCTGGCTGAGTAGTTTCCTGTACGTTATTTGCACGTTGTCTTAAAATTTTATGGTTTCTCAATTTTTATTTGCCTATTTTGTTAATTGTTTCAAACATATTTGGTCTACGGGTGATGGGTTGATGAGTCAGGCTGGCTTGTTGATGAGGCAGGGGTGAGTCACGAATGGTGCGTTGATGGGTCATACTGGTAGCGTTGATGAGTCAGGCAGGCTTGTTGATGAGGCAGGGGTGAGTCACGAATGGTGCGTTGATGGGTCATACTGGTAGCGTTGATGAGTCAGGCTGGCTTGTTGATGAGGCAGGGGTGAGTCACGAATGGTGCGTTGATGGGTCATACTGGTAGCGTTGATGAGTCAGGCTGGCTTGTTGATGAGGCAGGGGTGAGTCACGAATGGTGCGTTGATGGGTCATACTGGTAGCGTTGATGAGTCAGGCTGGCTTGTTGATGAGGCAGGGGTGAGTCACGAATGGTGCGTTGATGGGTCATACTGGTAGCGGTGATGAGTCAGGCTGGCTTGTTGATGAGGCAGGGGTGAGTCACGAATGGTGCGTTGATGGGTCATACTGGTAGCGTTGATGAGTCAGGATTGGTGCAGTTGATGAGTTAGGATTGTTGTGGTAGGAAAATCATGACTGGTGCATTGATGAGTTACGATTCATGCGACGATGAATCACGGTGTTGTACTTGTTTCTGTTATAATAATTACAAGTGTGTAAGTCATCAGTGTGGCTCAGCTCATCGTGGCACCTCACACTGAATCCCTCAGTTATCATTAATTAATTAATTAGAATTGTAATTATTGTTATTTGTTTTAATTATCGCCGCTCTCATTTTCATTGTTATTATTTATAATTAATATTATGTGTGATATTTTTTTTATGTAAACCTGAATCGCAGTTTTGGTTAGTGTGATAACCCGCTAGAACACGCACGCACGCACGCACACACATAAACACACTCGCACGCACACGCACACACACACACACACGTTATATGTAAAGCGTTATATGACAAAGAGTGCTGGGAAGACGGGACACCACGAGCGTAGCTCTCATCCTGTAACTCCACTTAGGTAATTACACTTAGGTAATTACACACACACATGCGCACACACACACACACACACACAAACACACACACACACACACACACACACACACACACACACACACACACACACACACACACACACACACACACACACACACACACACACACACACACACACACACACACACACACACACACACGCACGCACGCACACACACACACACACATACACACACACACACACACACACACACACACACACACAATTTAAAACCAGGTATGATAGGGAAATGGGACAGGAGTCATTGCTGTAAACAACCGATGCTCGAAAGGCGGGATCCAAGAGTCAATGCTCGATCCTGCAAGCACATATAGGTGAGTACATATAGGTGAGTACACACACAAACACACACACACACACACACACACACACACACACACACACACACACACACACACACACACACACACACACACACACACACACACACACACACACACACACACACACACACACACACACACACACGCACGCACACACACACACGCACACAACAGACCTAGAGACAGTCTTCAAGTAATCCAGAGAGCGGGTGGAGTGGCTCCCTTCACTCTGAAACTGTTTTGGCGAATTCCAAGTCTTTCTTCGCCCTCTCAATGTTTTCCAGAGTCGTGCTTCTGTTCGAAACGGGAGTCAAACAAGGGCTTGTGTTCGAAACGGGAGTCAAACAAGGGCTTGTGTTCGAAACGGGAGTCAAACAAGGGCTTGTGTTCGAAACGGGAGTCAAACAAGGGCTTGTGTTCGAAACGGGAGTCAAACAAGGGCTTGTGTTCGAAACGGGAGTCAAACAAGGGCTTGTGTTCGAAACGGGAGTCAAACAAGGGCTTGTGTTCGAAACGGGAGTCAAACAAGGGCTTGTGTTCGAAACGGGAGTCAAACAAGGGCTTGTGTTCGAATTATAAGTAATAACCTATGCTCCAAGCGAACGAAATCCAACAAGTTTCAGAGCAGGGAATATGCATGTTAAAAGATAATGAACGTCTGTTAAGTTTGGGGGGGGCCGTAGAGTCGGGGTCCAGGAGCTGCGGCCTGACCGCCCAGGAGGTGCTAGCTCGAACGACGGATTTACGTCGTTGTTCAGAATCTTATTCTATTTTTACTCTCAAAACCAATGAATTATTAGTGTTTTTAAAACACACACACACAATCTATAGTAATATTTCGGAGTACTGATTCCAATATTTTTTTGTAAGATATACACACACATATATATATATATATATATATATATATATATATATATATATATATATATATATATATATATATATATGACAATGTCAGACCACGGAGGAAAAATGAAACAGGAAATTTCCTTAAGTACTTTCGTATATTAAATACATCTTCAGAAGGATGTCTGAAGATGTATTTAATATACGAAAGTACTTAAGGAAATTTCCTGTTTCATTTTTCCTCCGTGGTCTGACATTGTCACATTCTTAATCACGTGTTTATTTTCGTGATACACACACATATATATATATATATATATATATATATATATATATATATATATATATATATATATATATATATATATATATATATATATATATATATATATATATATATATAATTTATTTTATATCCCCCCCCCAGTCAGTTACTGTGCCTAGGGAGACTGAACTTTATATATTTCATTTTCATTCCTCAATATTGGAAACTTTTTGTTGACACGAATCAGCTGATCTGTAGTTAAGATCAGCTGACGAAGCCACAACCTGACCCGGTGGTATGGCGGCTTGTAGAGGAGGCAGGAGAGACGATTCTGGTCGGCATTCGTGCCTGGGATCCGACCTTAGGAGAAAAAAATGATTCGGTATAGTCTTGTCTTGCCCATCTCCTCCTCCTCCTCCTCCCAAGCGCCTTTGCTGGCCATAGTTAATTAATATATTCTGATAACCTATGTAATTATGCTAATTATTATTATCATTGTTATTATTCTAATTTTTTTTTTCTGATGATCCAGATTTGTGTTATCTGGAGATACCTACATTTTAAGCCTATTTCTAAGACTTTTAATGCTAAAGGATATTATTATTATTATAATTTAATTATGTAATTAGACATGACAGAGAAAAACAATAAAATTTTAGTACTGTTTTTGTATATCACTCATTTGGCTCAAGAACCAATGAAATACACTTTTTCTAGTCGCTGTGTGAATGGTAGAGAGGCGATGGCACTCTGTGGTGGCACTGTGCCTCACAGAAGGGGGCCGCTGGAGGGTTTAATTCCTATTATTTCCCCATTTGCTAGCTAGTTTTCTGCCTCGAGTCTGACGCCATCGCGTTATGGTTCATGATTGGCTGAGTTGTTCACCCCCCTCCCCCCCTTTATCCACAAACCGTGACGTCATTAAATTCTGGTGAGGGACGGCCCGTGATTGGCCGTCTCATGGTGACGTCACACTAGTGTTATTAAGCCCATTAGACGTAAACAGAATTTTTAAAAGAGAATAAAAATTAAAACGATAAAAAAGGACCAAATTGAAGTGTTTTGTTTGGTTTGTGTTTGATGTTGCAGCTGCTCTAATATTATAAAAAAACACGTGTCCATTTGTTATTTGTTGTGTGACTTTTATAATAAACATTACAGGTGAAAATTAACCAAGAGTTTCATTAATTAATATACATGTTCCTACCTCAAGCTGGCCACGGTATCCTAATAATTAATATACATGTTCCTACCTCAAGCTGGCCACAGTATCCTAATAATAATAATAATAATAATAATAGAGTAACAAAACTTTATATAAGTTAAATGGGGATGTTTGTTCAAGTTCGGAGGCCAGACGTTTGTGGCTAGTCTCACGTAGTGATTTGTTAGTGTATGGCAGGTGTCATACGGGAGTTGAGGGTCGACCCCCCCCATGCCCCTCTTTAAATAAGATGGGCTCCTAGTTGCGACAACCAACGACTCCAATGAAACTTGATATGTTGGCTTGTGTCCATAGAGTGTTACCAATAGATATTCTAGCTATTTAGGTATAGGTTAAGTAATAATTGTAATTACGAAGCAATAAGATGTTTATCTTAACATACTAAGAAGGTTAGGTAAGGTCGGTGTTTTCTATGAAGCTTTTCAAGGTAAACTAAAATATTAGCAATAAGTTAGTATGTCACATATGCACTTATTTAATAAGTCAATATTGACTATAAGAAAGTGCGAGAACGGGTTGGAGCTATTATCGACAGTCCTTGAGGATGTTTTGCCCACTAAAGAAGAGAGAACGAGACGGAGAATGGGAAAATTGGAGGGGAAACAGACAGAGACCCGAGTACCGCCGGGTACCCCCTACCTAGAGACAAGACTGGTGGAGCCTAACCAATTTACCACCGGCATCTCTACCCTAGAACACCTTTAACAAAAGACCTTTGGTATCCTAGATGGTTCCAGGGGTACCATCTGTACCCCTGGAACACCTTTGAGAAAACACATTTGGTACCCATGAGGGAGCCGGTCGGCCGAGCGGACAGCACCCTGGACTTGTGATCCTGTGGTCCTGGGTTCGATCCCAGGCGCCGGCGAGAAACAATGGGCAGAGTTTCTTTCACCCTATGCCCCTGTTACCTAGCAGTAAAATAGGTACCTGGGTGTTAGTCAGCTGTCACGGGCT